CCTCTCAGGCCCCGCCCCGCCCCGCCCCCGCCCCCAGGGGGTGCAGGTGTGCTGGAGCGGTGCGCTGGAACTGGCCTGGGCCCCCGGTGAGCGCCTGTGTAACCTTCAGGAGGCTTATGTTCTAACGGAGACCTACGCCCAGCGAGTGTGCGTCTTCATCACTCACCCCCCCACCCCCGTCGTTTAGCGCTGCATCTGGCAGTGGGAGCTTAATTCATGCACTAAACTGTTTTGTAAGCACATTTAATTTTAGCAAATTCAAACTCTTTCCTGTGCCTTTTTAATGAATTAAAACATACAATTATATTTTGCATGTGCATTAATTACTGTACATATAATTTTCCCTTATGTATATTAAGCTGCTGTACTAATATTAATAGGTAATTATGCATGGACGGCTTAAGAGATTTTTCAAGGATAACTTTAACCGTACCTTAGTTCTTATTTTAGAACTCCTGTGCCAGCTTCCTCCTCCAGCCTTTATATATACAGCTCCTGTAATAGTAGGCCCAGATTAAAGTTACTGAATAGAACTGGCCTTGTCCTATCTTTGCTCCAATCCCTAACAATCAAATCGGGGCCTATTCACCAGAATCTGATCACTCTTCATACCTCCTCTGGCACTATCATCAAATCCCACCATCCTCACCCCAGTAGCTACTGGTCTCACTGTGTCCACTCTTGCCCTCTGTAATGTACATCAGCAGTTGCCCACCCTATTACCCTTGTTCAATGGTCAACCCTAGACAACAGAGGGCTGCCCCTGTAAGAAGCCGGCTCACTCCTAACTCCTATCTAAGTGTAACACATCTTTCTCATAAGTGGTTGGTTCAGAAATAGGCATGTGACTCCACATATATAGAGGTGTCCTTCAGTTTTTGAGAAAGTTCTTCATTCTTTGGGAGTGTTCAATAAGGAATTCTAAGACTGTGAAGTACAAAGCAAGTAGCCCTCCTAGACCACCTAGACACTTCCTAAACTCAGGATGTTCAGTCCATAACCAGCAGTGTTGGGAAACAGAACCTGAGTCCTTGACACATAGCTTGATTAGAGCTAAATCTACCAACTCAGAAGTTTGCATTATCTCTGGACTTCTGATTAAAAAGAGCAGTAAATTTTCCTACCGAGCAAGGCAGTTTGCATCAGGTTTCCTATCACTAGCAGCTAAAGACATCTGATTCACATACCCCAGTTCTATTGTCCACTCAGCAGCCTGAATGAACTTTCAAAAGGTAATCAGATCATGTAACATTCCTTTTTAGAGCCCTCCAAGACTTCCCACTATTACGAGAGCCTAATCTAGACACCCATCTAGAATTCTGCATTATCTGACACACCTTCCCTACCTTCTTGCACGCTCCTCCCATTCACACTAACCACAGTGGTTTCTCTTCTTCAGATACTCTAAACTAGTTCCTGCCTCAGGGACTTTGCACTTACTGATCCCTCTGTCCGCAGTACTTTTCCCAAGTCTTTGCAACTGGACTCCTTTTCACCATTCAGACATCAATTCAAACAAAGAGGCTTTCCTGATATCCTGTCTGCAGAAGCCTCTCTCCCCTCCAAGCAGCTGCGATCACCTGCCTTTCAAAATGTGCTCCATAGCACTTATCCCTCTTGAAAAATGATCAATTCTGGGAACCAGCAGTTGGCATAATGGCTATGTCACTGGACTTCCATGTAGTCAGCTGCAGTTAGAGTCCTGGACCCAGTGGCTTAATCTCACGCTGGGCGCATGTGCATATGTTCCCAAGATCCCGAGAGGAGAATGGAGGAGAAAGGATTGCAGCATGGCCATCCCCCTGCGGGGTGATTTCTTGCTTTCTGTCTCTCTGACACTCTCTGCCTTTCTGGCAAGCACATGTACTCTATGCCAAAACCTCTCAAAAATAAATAAATAAATAACTTCCATCGCTTTCCATGCTCATTCAGCTCCCTACTCTAGAATGTCAGTTCCACGAGGGCAAGGTGTTGGTTGACATTCAACAATACCTGTTCTGCTTCCTTCCACTAGAACCTGAACCATGATGTGCCAGCCCTTTCCAGGTCTCTGCTCTGTGGCATTCCCACTGAGTGCAAAACCTACAAGATGTTCAAGAGCCCATTTGAGCAGCAGAAAGCAGGCCATCCTGGGTTAAATGCCTCTTGTTCAATATTAAAACATCAGAGGGGCCGACAGGTGGCACAGTGGCCAATTCCTGGACCTGGCAGCTCGCTTTCTCACTTTCTCTCTCTCACTCTCCCACTCTATCCCCCTCTCTGTTAAAATTAAAATAAATAAATAAAGTTAAAATAATTCTTTAAAAAATTCTTTAAAAAATAATCAGAGGTGAGCCTAACCATTTTGACACAGGAGGTATCATACTGATCTGTAGAGTTGGAAGCCACATGGCTGACCAAGGGTTAAGATCCCAAGTTGACCTGAAACATACCAAGCGTTAGAGCCTACGGTCCTGAGTAGGTAGAGATCTCAGGAAAGGAGAATGTGGCATGCAGAGACTCTGGGAAGAGTGTATGTGTGAGTGCATGTGTGAGTGCATGTGTGTATCTGTCTGTCTGTCTTTCTGTCTTTCTCTCACTGAAGAAATCATGTAAAATAAACTTTTAAAAAAGCATGTCAGAAGTAGCAGCAAAAGGACTTTGACTTTAAACCTAGATAGAACCAAGTTTTAGTCCTATCTCTGCCAAGTACCTGCTGAGAAGTATGAACAGGAAAACTAACCTCCCTATGAGCTTTATTCACCTGTACAACAGGAGTTAGTACCTGCCTCAGGGTTTTCCTGAAAAATAAAGGCCATTACAGGTAGGAAAGCCAACACATAAGGGGACCATCCTTCTAAATTCCTTCAGATTATAATCAGGAGAGTAGCAGCTGCTCCAAAACACCTTCAGTAAACCAAACTTAAATTTCAGCAAATATTCGTTGATCTTTTTCTGTGTACCAGGCCCTCAACTGGGCATGGGGGCAAGAGATGACCAAGGCAAGCACCACGTCTATCCTGGAATCTCAGAGTAGAGGAAGGACCACAGACCTCAGATAAAGTGCTTTCAGTTTCATGGGAGGTGCGTTCTTATAACAACAATCAGAAGAGGGTGATCCCTTCCACGAAATTCCTGTAAGCTTCATCTGCACGATCCTTAGGACAATAATGATCACATTATTGCTTGTGCTACATGGGTTTTGTGTATGCGCCAGCCTTGCCTGCAAGGATGGGAACCAAGTCTTCATCAAAGTCTTACCCTCTGCGTGGGGACCTGGAGTAGTTTGTTACCACTTCTTAGATGCAATGATAGAAACTCAACTTGAGACCAGCTGATGGAGTAATGGTTACATCACTGGACTCCCACGTAGTCGGCCACAGTTCGAGTCCAAGACCTGGCAGCTTAAAATTCATGCCATGTACATGCCTGCCTAGAATCCTAAGAGAATGGAGAAGAAGGGATTGCAGTATGGCCATTCCCCCGAGGGGTGATTTCTCGCTTTCTGTCTCTCTCTGTCTCTCCAGTGATCACACATACCCTATAGCAAAAATCTCTCTTAAAAAAAAAAAGAGTAAAAAAAGAAATTCAATTTAATGTGGTTTATTGGAAGAGAAAAACCAAAGTCAAGAGGATATTATGCAACATGGCATGTAGGAAGCTCAAGGATCAGTCTCTCTATTAAAACAACTACACACATTGTATAGTGAACAGGTATACTACAAAAAATTGGATGACCTAGATCAAATGGATAAATTCCTAAAACAACACAAACTACTAAAGTGACTCAAGAAGAAATAAAAAACCTGAATAAATATGCAACAATTCTGTTGAATAGTAACTTTTTTTTGAGTTTTTTGCTATCGGGCGAGTGTACTCACCAGAAAGACAGCAAGAGATAGACAGAAAACGAGAAATCACTCCCTGGGGGAGGATGACCATACCTCAATCCCTTCTTCTCCTTTCTCCTCTTGGGATCTTGGGCACACATGCACACACGCCCGGCATGAGTTTAAGCCACCAGGTCCGGGACTCGAACCATGGTTGACTACACGGGAGTCCAGCGACATAGCCATTACGCCAACTACTGGTCCCTTGGATAGTAATTTTAAATAAACCTCCCAAAAAGACCAGCAGGTGGCACAGTAGACTCCCATTGGCCAACCACAGTTTGAGTCTCAAACTTGGCAGCTTGCTTTCTCTCTCTCTCATGAGTGCACATGCCCTGTACAAAGTTAGGGACCAGCAGATGGCATAATGGCTATGTTGCTGGACTCTCATATAGTCGAACATGGTTCAAGTCCCAGACCTGGTGGTTTAAACTCACGCCGAGTGTGCATGCGTGCGTGCCCATGATCCTGAGAAGAGAGTGGAGGAGAAGGGATTGCAGTGTGGCCATCCTCCCTGGGGGGTGATTTCTCGCTTTCTATCTCTCTGTCTTTCTTGTGAGCGCATGCGCCCTATAGCAAAAACCTCTCCAAAAAAAAAAAAGTTATAATCAGGAGAGTATTATCATTGTTATTATCAAGAGAGGAGTAATATTATTATTTATTATAATGACAATAAATAAAATTAAATAAATTATATTTTTTTAAAAAGAAAAACCCAGGTGCTTCATAGGTGAAGTTCTACCAACCGTTTCAT